AGTAAACATGCTTGTTATATCAGTGGACCAAAGGGGGTTAATCTCTCTTGTGTAAAAGGCTGTTTGAACTATCCCCAATCCATCTGCTGATAGAAACATGGAGCCTTGAGGAAAGCCTGCACATGATCAGTTTGGGGTGTATTGCTAAAGAGCGTATTTTATTCTTCGGCGAGGGTGCATGTGATCAGCACAGGCCAATCAGCACTGTCCAGACAGAGGTCAGGGGGTTCTGAATCCTCCTGAAGCATAAATAAAACTCCTCCTACAAGATTAACCCGTGCTCTGCTGGACACTGATAGAAGTCACAAGACTGCTCTAACTGCTGATGAGAAAAAGGTATTTAGCAGTTTTATATTTAGTAAAAATAATTGCACTTCCATGTTGTGTGTACTGTGGGTGACCGGATATAGTGAATGCAGGGTCCGGGAGACCGGATATAGTGAATGCAGAGTCCGGGGAGACCAGATATAGTGAATGCAGGGTCCGGGGGAGACCAAATATAGTGAATGCAGGGTCCAGGGAGACCGGATATAGTGAATGCAGGGTCCAGGGAGACCGGATATAGTGAATGCAGGGGTCCGGGGAGACCGGATATAGTGAATGCAGGGGGGGGTCCGGGGTAGACCAGATATAGTGAATGCAGGGTCCAGGGAGACCATATATAGTGAATGCAGGATTCGGGGAGACCAGATATAGTGAATGCAGGGTCCGGGAGACAGAAATAGTGAATGCAGGGTCCGGGGAAACCAGATATAGTGAATGCAGGGTCCAGGGTGACCGGATATAGTGAATGCAGGGTCCGGGGAGACCGGATATAGTGAATGCAGGGTCCGGGGAGACCAGATATAGTGAATGCAGGGTCCAGGGAGACCGGATATAGTGAATGCAGGATTCGGGGAGACCAGATATAGTGAATGCAGGGTCCGGGGAGACCTGGATATAGTGAATGCGGGGTCCGGGGAGACCTGATATAGTGAATGCGGGGTCCGGGGAGACTGGATATAGTGAATGCAGGGTCCTGGGAGACCTGATATAGTGAATGCAGGGTCCGGGGAGACCTGATATAGTGAATGTGGGGTCCGGGAGACCTGATATAGTGAATGCAGGATTCGGGGAGACCAGATATAGTGAATGCAGGGTCCGGGGAGACCTGATATAGTGAATGCGGGGTCCGGGGAGACCTGATATAGTGAATGCGGGGTCCGGGGAGACTGGATATAGTGAATGCAGGGTCCTGGGAGACCTGATATAGTGAATGCAGGGTCCGGGGAGACCTGATATAGTGAATGCGGGGTCCGGGGAGACCTGATATAGTGAATGCGGGGTCCGGGGAGACCAGATATAGTGAATGCAGGGTCCGGGGAGACCGGATATCGTGAATGCAGGGTCCAGGGAGAGCGGATATAGTGAATGCAGGGTTTTTGGGAGAGTGGATATAGTGAATGCAGGGTCCAGGGAGACCAGATATAGTGAATGCAGAGTCCAGGGAGACCAGATATAGTGAATGCAGGGTCCCGGGGAGACCAGATATAGTGAATGCAGGTCCGGGTGGAGACCAGATATAGTGAATGCAGGGTCCAGGGAGACCGGATATAGTGAATGCAGGGTCCGGGGAGACCGGATATAGTGAATGCAGGGTCCGGGGAGACCAGATATAGTGAAATGCAGGGTCCAGGGAGACCGGATATAGTGAATGCAGGATTCGGGGAGACCAGATATAGTGAATGCAGGGTCCGGGGAGACCTGATATAGTGAATGCGGGGTCCGGGGAGACCTGATATAGTGATGCGGGGTCCGGGAGACTGGATATAGTGAATGCAGGGTCCTGGGAGACCTGATATAGTGAATGCAGGGTCCGGGGAGACCTGATATAGTGAATGCAGGGTCCGGGGAGACCTGATATAGTGAATGCGGGGTCCGGGGAGATCTGATATAATGAATGCGGGGTCCGGGGAGACCAGATATAGTGAATGCAGGGTCCAGGGAGACCGGATATAGTGAATGCAGGCTCCAGGGAGACCGGGATATAGTGAATGCAGGGTCCGGGGAGACCGGATATAGTGAATGCAGAGTCCAGGGAGACCGGATATAGTGAATGCAGGGTCCGGGGAGACCTGATATAGTGAATGCAGGGTCCGGGGAGACCGGGTATATCGTGAATGCAGGGTCCAGGGAGAGCGGATATAGTGAATGCAGGGTTCGGGAGAGTGGATATAGTGAATGCAGGGTCCAGGGAGACCAGATATAGTGAATGCAGAGTCCAGGGAGACCAGATATAGTGAATGCAGGGTCCGGGGAGACCAGATATAGTGAATGCAGGGTCCAGGGAGACCAGATATAGTGAATGCAGGGTCCGGGGAGACCAGATATATAGTGAATGCAGGGTCCAGGGAGGACCAGATAAGGTGAATGCAGGGTCCGGGGAGACCAGATATAGAGAATGCAGTGTCCGGGGAGACCAGATATATTTTTCTATTTTATTCTATTTCTTTATTTTCTGTTATATTCTATTCTGTTTTACTCTATTTTTTACTATTCTATACTATTCAAATCTAGTTTTTTTTCTATTCTATTCTTGCTATTTCATTCTATTCTTTTATTTTCTATTTTAATCTATTTCTTTATTTTCTGTTCTATTCTATTTTATGCTATTCTTTACTATTCTATTCAAATCTATTCTATTTTTTTCTATTCTGTTCTATTCTTTTATTATCTATTATACTCTTTTATATCCTATTCTATTTTATTCTGTAGTGCTACCCTCTTGAAGGCCACTGTGTTTCTAGGTCCCCCTAAGCTTCGCATAGCCAGGCAACACACATTTTTCCAAACTTGCGTCCACAGTCAGTGAACAGTCCATGAGCTTGTTTTTTGCTATTTTATAAGGGGAAATAACTTGGATGGGGTAATAGGGATTATGGGATGCCCAATTTTACTGAATCAATGCACGGGGGTAACTTCCCTCTTATGTACAGAGAAAGATCCTGGGCCATACACGTGTAGATTTTCGGATGAGTATGTTTATAAGAAAAGACATGTGATGAATGGATGAATGTTGTTAAAAAAATTTTATTTTTTGCTTTTAACATTCTATTTAAAATGAATTTAATTTCTGAAGAATAACCACATACACTGGCTGAACATTCGTTTAATCGAGAAAAGTTTTTCTTCCTGTCCCTTCGAATCTTCCCGTCACTGCTGTCAAAAATGAACATCAATTTGACCCTACAAACGATTTGAAAGTCAAACGAATATTCTTGAAACGAAAATTATCGAGCAAAAATCTATATGTGTATGGCCAGCTTTACAGGCGAAGGACTCTACGCCCATCAAAAAGTTAACACAGATTGGACTGCATCCAGTCCCAGCCCGCAGTCTACTACTTTTTAGGTTTAACACACACTTTTGATTTTTGTGACCACTAATGGGTCACAAATATTTTTCTGTTATTTGTCAATATGTACTGTATACTGTATTTGCTATTCTTCATATTGCAGACTCAATAAGGCCTCTATCACACGGGCGTTCTGTATGTCCGTTTTTCATCTGTCCGTTTACAGATGAAAAACTGACACCCATGTACACTATATTGCCAAAAGCATTGGGCCAGCCCTCCAAATCATATGATTCAGGTGTTCCAATCCCCTCCATGGTCACAGGTGTATACAATCAAGCCCCTAGGCATGCAGACTGCTTCTACAAACATTGGTGAAAGAATGGGTCGCTCTCAGGAGCTCAGTGACTCCAAGCGTGGTCCTGTGATAGGTTGTCACCTGTGCAATAAGTCCATCCGTGACATTTCCTGGCTACTAAATATTCCACGCTCAACTGTTAGTGGGATTATAACAAAGTGGAAGCAACTGGGAACAACAGCAACTCAGCCACCAAGTGGTAGGCCACGTAAAATGAAAGAGCGGGGTCAGCACTGCTGAAGCGCACAGTGCGCAGAAGTCACCAACTGTCTGCAGAGTCAATAGCTAAAGACCTCCAAACTTGGTGTGGCCTTCAGATTAGCACAACAACAGTGTGTAGAGAGCTTCATGGAATGGGTTTCCATGGCCGAGCAGCTACATCCAAGCCTTACATCACCAAGTGCAATGCAAAGCGTCGGATGCCGTGGTGTAAAGCATGCCGCCACTGGATTCTAGAGCAGTGGAGACGTGTTCTCTGGAGTGACCAATCACGCTTCTCTGTCTGGCAATCCGACGGACGTGTCTGGGTTTGGCGGTTGCCAGGAGAACGGTACTTGCCTGACTGCATTGTGCCAAGTGTAAAGTTTGGTGGAGGGGGGATTATGGTGTGGGGTTGTTTTCAGGGGTTGGGCTTGGCCCCCTAGTTCCAGTGAAGGGAACTCTTAAGGTGTCAGCACACCAAGACATTTTGGACAATTTCATGCTCTCAACTTTGTGTGAAGAGTTTGGGGATGGTCCCTTCCTGTTCCAACATGACTGCACACCAGTGCACAAAGCAAGGTCTATAAAGACATGGAGGAGCCAGTTTGGGGTGGAGGAACTTGACTGGCCTGCACAGAGTCCTGACCTCAACCCCATAGAACACCTTTGGGATGAATTAGAGAGGAGAATGTGAGCCAGGCCTCCTCCCCCGACATCAGTGCCTGACCTCACAAATGTGCTTCTGGAAGAATGGTCCAACCTTCCCATAGACACCCTCCTAAACCTTGTGGAAGGCCTTCCGAGAAGAGTTGAAGCTGTTATAGCTGCTAAGGGCGGGGCCAACTCAATATGAACCCTACAGACTAAAACTGGGAGGCCATTAAAGTTCATGTGCGTATAAAGGCCGGCCGACCAATACTTTTGGCAATATAGTGTATTTTGAAGGACTCGGATCTGCTTACATCCGTTAATGTCCGCATCTGTTAACATCCGTTTTTTTAAATGGGAAAAACCCCTATTTTTCTTCCGTAAAAAATGGATGTAAACGAATGCGAATGGCTGAAAAACGAATGTAAGTGGATGAAAACTGGATGAAAAATGGCTGTGAATGGATGTAAACGGATGTGAACGGATGAAAATGGATAAAAAAAATGGATGGAAACGGATGGAAAATGGATGTACATGGATGAAAAACAGATCTGAATGGATGTAAATGGATGTGAACGGATGATAACGGATGTGAACAGATGAAAATGGATGTAGACGGATGAAAAACGGATGTGAACCTATGAAATTAGATGTGAACCGATAAAAACGGATGTGAACCTATGAAATTAGATGTGAACCGATAAAAACGGATGTGAACGGATGAGAACAGATGAAAACGGATGTAAAGGGATGAAAAATGGATTTGGATGGATGAAAACGGATGAAAACAGGTGTGAACGGATGAAAAAGGGTTGTACACTGATGAAGAACGGATGAAACTGATCCGTGTTTTCTTTTTGAAAATACATGACTGAACTGATGAAAAAAAAAAGAAATGCCATTGTGAAAGGACCCTAAAAATACCGAAAGAAACATCTTCTCCAGGAGTGTTCCAGCTGGCTGAGGTTGACATAGAAGGGTGTTATCCTCACCATACAATGACTAAGTCACCGGTCACATCGCTGCGATTCGTGTGCAATTTCAGCGTGATTTCAGGTGCGATTTCTGAAGACTTTATTGCTAGTTGTGAGGATTTTTTAATGATTTCTTGCAGTTTGCAGTGTGATTTCCGTTATATTTGATGTATGTGAAATCGCAAACAAAACTGCAGAAAAAGTAATGCAAGAACTACTGTAGAAATCTCTGCAGAAAATCGCACGAGTTGAGACACTGACATTCACATTCATTAGATGCGATTTCAGGTGCAATTTCAATTTGTAAATTGCGCCTGAAATCGCACCAGTATGACCGGGCACTAATCTACAGATGGGACAATAAAGGATTGCTTTACTTAGACGATATATTGACCTATTTCCTGTGGAATATTACAGGACTCCCATACGTTGCATGTGACCACAAGTGACATTTATTGAGCTGTTCAAGGTCCAGGTGTCACATTGTGAATATTGATATTTGAGAGAAGCTCTTCTCGACTTTTGCTTTCATTTCAGTTACAATGATTTTTACAATGTACAGTTGTGTTCAAAATAATAGCAGTGTGTTGAAAAAAAGTGAATAACGCTGAAAATCCTTCTAATAGCTTTTTATTTCCATCCACACAAATGCATTGGGAACACGACACATTCTATTCCAAATCAAAACATGAAGAAAAATAGATCAAATTTGTGTTGTTCCTCTAAAAAAATTGAAGAAAAGTGAATATTAGACGGTTCAAAAAAATCGCAGTGTTTGTATTCTTCTTTACAAACTCAAACATTCACTATATAAACTGAAAAATGTTTGAAGATTTTGCTTTCCTTTGAATGACTTCATGAATATTTGGTTGTAGTCGCACTGTTTCTGAGAACTGCTGTACATCTGTGTTGCATGGAGTCACCCAACTTCTGGCCCCTGTGATCAGGTATTCCAGCCCAGGATGATTGGACCACATTCCACAGTTCTTCTCTATTTCTTGGTTTTGCCTCAGAAACTGCATTTTTGATGTCACCCCACAAGTTTTCTATTGGATTAAGATCCGGGGATTGGGCTGGCCACTCCATAACGTCAATCTTGTTGGTCTGGAACCAAAATGTTACATGTTTACTGGTGTGTTTGGGGTCGTTGTCTTGTTGGAACACCCATTTCAAGGGCATTTCCTCTTCAGCATAAGGCAGCATGACCTCTTCAAGTATTCTGATTAGAGATGAGCGAATTATTCAAAAATTCGGTTCGGCTGATTCGCCGAATTCGCCGATTAAATTCGCTTCGTGCCGAATATATTCGCTGCGAATTTAACTTATAAAAAGGGTGTTTCTAGGCTTCAGAGAGCCTTTATATTAGTGCAGAACACTGTACCTTTAATTTAAATGCCCTTGGAGTCTGCTGGGGAAGAGAAATAATACTGTCAGTCAGTATGACATGCAGATGAGTGCCATCGATCTTAGAATCACCGCACACTTCACTCATTTGGGCAGTCACGGGGCCAAAACCAGAGTGTGGAGCCACAGTGTGGCGGTGGAGGCAGCAGCAATGGGAGGCCATACAGCACCCTATGACAAAATGGAACCCCACCAGCAGTGTGAGGAGACCTGAAAGTGGCACATGGCAGAGTGTGGCGATGGAGACAGCAGCAATGGGAGAGGCCGTACAGGGACCCATGACACACTCTGGACCTGGCAGCAGCATGAGGAGGCGGTACAGGGGCCCATGACAGATTACGGGCCTGGCAGCAGCATGAGGAGGCGGTACAGGGGCCCATGGCAGAGTGGCGGAGCGTAAGCAGCTAAAATTGAAGGCCATACAGAGGCCTATGTTAAAAA